CTGGGTGGATCTCTCCTGGCCACCAGTTCCCAATAACCATTCAGAGGCTTATATTAATTATAATATATAATTATTATGGTGATATTTTATTTGTGCTGAAATGTGATTTTATTTGTATGTTAATAAATAAAAGTGCCCAGGGGTCAGAGCTAATAGCAAGCCATAGCAGAAGTCTGGCAGTGGTAGCACATGCCCTTAATTCTGATCACATGACAGGCAGATATCTGTGTGTTCAAGGATACAGCCAGCATGGAGACACATGCCTTCAATCTCAATACCAACCATAGAAGATCTGGAGGTCTGTATAGACAGGCAGCGATGAGGAGGTCATGTGGTTGGGTTTATAACCAATGAGAAGGCAGAACAGAAAGTCAATAAAAAGACACACAGGAAGTAGGTCTCTTTCTGAGGGGAAGGACAGCAGTGGCAGGAAGGGTAAGAAAGGGTTTTTAGTATCAGCTCTTGGCTGCTGCTCTGACCTCTTGGGCTTTAACTCTGCATTTGGCTCTGTGTTTCTTGTGTTTCTTATTTAATAAGACCATTATATCTACAAATAATTATAAATGTTTGGCCAATGTCTTAGGCTTTTTACTAGCTAGTTCTTATATTTAAATTAACCCATCTCTATTAATCTATGTATCGCCACATTGCCATGACATTACCAGTCTGCTGGCATGTTGCTCCTTGGGCAGCTGGCTGGTATTTCCCAGATTCCTTTCCTGTATCTCTGCTTAGATTTCTCACCTGGCTCTATCCTGCCTTGCCATAGGCCAAAGTAGCTTTATTTATCAACCAGTGAGAGGAACACATATTCTCAGCCTACAGAAAGACATCACACAGCATTTTCCCTTTTTTGTCTAATCAAACAGGAAGGTTTTAACTTTAACATAGTAAAATTACATATAACAGAACAAGTTATTGAGCAAAAATCAGTTACAATATCCAGTCTATTTGTATTTGGCAAGATTAAGGAAAATACTCTATCATCTACCTTATTTTTGTGAGTCTAAAGTTTCATATCTAATTTATCTTTTATCATAATTAAGGAAAACTATAACTATCTAGTTTTCAACTCCATCAAAGACCCCAGAAGATATCATATTACCTGAGTAAACAGGAAGTGCATTGTGAACAACTTCAAAAATTCTATAAATGACATAGATATTTGGCTGTCTGGATAGTCACCCAAAGTTCTTCTGTAATGTTGGGGCATCCATCTTCAGCCTATAGGCCCAGAATATTTGGCAAATTTTTCAGTGAAGCAGGAAATTTGAAGGACTGTCCCATCTATTTTGGCAAAGTTTGTCAGTCACTTTCCTCTATATGCAGAGTGTCTGGCAGTTTCTTCTGTGAAGCAGGATCCTGAAGGACCATCTCACCCTTTTTTGGCAAAGTTCAACGGTCACTTTCTTATGGGTCCTGCATGTCTAGTTTAAACAACATATTGTCGAGCAATCCAGGCAAGAGCAGTTTCTTGCCCAAATGGCTAGACTTACCACATTGAAAGAAACTCCATAAGGAGTTTCTTTGATGCCCAACATCTCTGAAGTGGTTTAGTATTGCCAGGAGCAGATGGGTCTCATTGTCATGAAAAGTCCTAAGTTAACCAAACATTTTAAATGCCATATTCTTTAGGTCTTTGAAGTATTTGGAGACCATCTATCTAAAATATATCTCTATATGATTCTGAAAACATATCTAACATCTCTATAAATTTTATTGTTATAGATGACTATTAACTTATGTTTCCTGATTATCTTAAATAGTTTATAATAATAGCTTTCAAAATTTAGAACTTTACCTTATATTTTAAATGAACTATATAGGTACAATACCTTAAACAAGACTAGAAACATATATACAATATGTTGTAACAAAAATAACCTTAAATTTATATCAATATACAAAAATCCTTTAAACAAGAATAGAAGCATATGTATAGTGTGTAGATGTAACAGTGTTATTAAATAAGAAACACAGAGCCAAATGCAGCGTTAAAGCCCAAGAGGTCAGAGCAGTAGCTAAGAGATGATACTAAAAACCCTTTCTTACTCTTCCTGCTGCTGCAGTCCTTCCCCTCAGAAAGAGGCCTACTTCCTGTGTGTTTGTCCTTTTTATTGACTTTCTGTTCTGCCTTCTCATTGGTTGTAAACCTA